GCAGAAGAACTCTTCGACTATATCTCAGGTAAGAAGCAGATTAGATGGATGGAATCGATTGCTGATTTCAGACAAATGGCTTTTAGGAAAGAGCTTCGATTTGGGCATTGATAGACAATTTATAATAGTCCTCGCAAGTGCACGAGTCGCGATAGTACAGTGCTCAAGTAAGGGTCGAATCCACGGGGAAAATGCAACTAAGTAATTGGAAAACTATTAATTAAAAATAAAAAAATAAAATTACTTTAACTAAAAGAGAGATTTGAGAATGTTTTGATTTGAAACTGAAAAGTAAAGCTTGAATTAAAATGGATGCAAGGAATTCAATTGATTAAAAATAAAGTGATCAAACAACTGACGTAAAATTGATTGAGAATTTAACAAGAGAAAAGATAGTCCAGGATTATGAATCAGTCACTAATTTTTAGTATTTGTGATTTAGTTAGCCAATTAGAGTTGAGGGTTCGTTCTAGACAAACATATGACTATCCCGTATGGCGTCCAGAATAAGTCACGTACTTTAACTATTAATTAAAAGGAAATTATTAATTCAATAGTTAAAATCCATTAATCACAAAAGAACTACGGAAACCCGATTTAAGAACCAAATAGATAACTCAACAAGACAGTTCAATTATCTATTCTTTTGTCCAAAAGAGCTCGAATTAATAGGCATGGCATGTACTCTATTAATCCACTCAAACAACTTAATTAATCATGCTAAAGTTGGCAAGAAGTTAACACAAGAAATTAAGCGAATAAGAACAATGGATAAAACTCAATCAATTGACTTAACTAAAATCACAATGTATACTAAATCATAGCAACTTCATCATAATCCAGGACTTACAAATTTAGCTACTCATATCACAATTGCAAATTATTGAAACTGAAGGAAAAAGAAAGTTCACTTGATTCATGTTCACGGTTAACACTAAGTAATTGTGTTCCATCCTCAACTTGACAAAGTCTTATTTATTAAAACAATGAAAAATCGGAAATAAGGAGCAAAACAAGTAGTCTTCGGTGAATCAAACCAGAATTTTGCAAGAGTATTAGTCGTTGCTCAATCTTTGATGACTCACGCAGAAGAACGCCAATTGGAGAGCTTCGAACTGACCCTGATTTCTTCTCCCTGTCTGGCTTATTCTGCTCTTCTGCTCTTCTCTTGGCTGTTGCGTCGCTATCTTCCCGTCCGGCCTTGGCTCTTCGCCGCCGTGAGAGCTGGAGCCGCAAAACCCTCCTGCGTTTTTTTATTCAGCCCCCACAGCCCAGGAGTCTCTCGCTGCTTACTCTTTGTTCTTGGGCCGAAAGATCCTTTTCTTTTCCTGGGTTGCTGGTTCGTACAAGTCAAGAGGAGTAATCCTCTTTTTCATTTTGTAGTTTGCTGAGCAGTCCTTCAAAACAAAAAGTATTTGGCTCACTTCTTTTAATTTTCCAACAACCCTTGGAGAAGGGAAAATCTCCACAAATCAGTCCAAAAATCCTCAAATCCTTCAATTAAAGTTATCACCTGTAAAAAATCATTTTTACACAAAATATAACTCTCAACCTCTCAATTAGGCAAATAATAAGCATAGAATTGTGATAAAATATTACAAAAATGAAGTACAAATTCTAGCTCATCAGGCATGTTTATCGTGATGGTAATGAACCGGCCCATCTACTTGCAGCTATACACCCGGCCCAGCTACTCACTTGGACTGATCCAAATCTCTTGCCGAACCCGATTAAAGCAGTAATTGATTTAGACTTCTTTAATATTCCCTCTTTTAGAAGGCTGATCTAATTTTTTATGTATTTTTAGATTGGGTAAGGTTTGACCCCCTCAATTTTTTCTTAAAATTTTTGACTTCGTTGTATTTTGAGAAGGGATGCCTTCCGTGAAGGGGTATTGGTCTAGTCCCCCCTTCTTTGTATTTCTCTTTTTCTTTTAATAAAACCTGGTAAATGTTCCCCGGCATTTACCCCACTGATTTTGGTGGTTTACCTTCCGGGTTAAAAAAAAAGAAGAAGAAGAAGAAACATCTAAAATAATTTTACATAATTTAAACAAATAAGCAATAGAACAACTCTTTATTAAAGACCTAATTAGGATATAATATAAAAATTCATAGTTTTGTAATGTTTAATTATCTTTGTTAGATAATCAGTACTCAATTTTGTAAAATATATACTGGACATACTAGTTAAATAATTTTTAGAACAATAATATAAATATTTGTCGACATTAAATATTACAATTCATTTATTTCTTACTTTCTAAAATCAAGTTATTGCATAGATAATAAAATATAATATGTACCATATATATAAATTAGCAATATAATATTATTCTATAAATAATAATCTCATACAAACTATTGTAATATTAAGAAAATTTCTCATGACTCACGAACATCATCCTTGATAGAAAAAATTGCAATTCAAAAATCAATTCTTTGTTTATCGATAAGATTCATGTGGTTAAACAAGTAAGAAGTTATTTAAAAAACACTGGGGAATATGTACCTTTAAAACTCTTTATCTTAAAATAATTTGATAAAATGCTATGTATCCTCTTTTTATTTTTCAAATAATTTTCCTTTGATTTGTCATTTCTTACACTTTAATGTATTAATAATACATTTTTCTAGAGCACTTCAGTTATAAAATTAAAGTAACTTTTTCATTGTCTAAACTACAATGCAATTGATATAAATGTTGTTGTGCATGTATTAATGGAATTTTTCTGAATAAAAAATAAGCGTAGAACTCTACACTAGTGAAAAAAATTTGCTCTGCTGCACTAGCGAATTTTTTTGCTCCGCTACACTAGCGAAAAAATTTCACCCCGCCACACTAATAAAAAATATATTACCCCCTACACTATCGAAAAAATTTCGCCCCATTGACTCAAAATTCTGGATCTCACCGCCCCCATTGGGCTAATTCAAACCAAATTCATGGGGGTATTTCTATTGGTAACATAAACAATGAGATCACAAATTCAACTGCACCATTAAAAACCCAGTCCAATCGGCTGGCCCTGTTTTCATAAAATAACATGAAATAAATTTTTAAGAAAGAATTATGACTTCACAGTCCACAGTCAAACAATAAACTGTAGAGCAGACTATGGTTTGTTTGGGGAAGAGATATCATATACAGAGAGAGGGAGGGAGAAAGGCTGTCCGTACAACAATTTGTTGACGCGTGGCCCCATAAACGCGCTTCCTCCTTCTTCACCGCCCTATTTATTGCCTCTCATCGCCTTTCTGCTCACCCTCCACTCTTCTCTATCTCCCGTCCCTCTCTCTCTATATATCTCTGGATCTCACTCTCATAATCGTCACCCTGTTTTTCTGGTTTCTGGGTGTGAACTGAATCCGACTGTTGTAAAGAATCGATCTTTTGCTTTGTTTCAGTTTAGATTCCTTGTTTTCAGTCTGGGAAAAAGAAATTCGAGGTGAAGGGTCTGATAAAAATGGCGTCTTCTGATAATTTGGCCCCGTTGGAGCCCTGGGCGTCTCGCTTCGCCGGATTTTCTGATTCTTGGTTTTCCGACGCGTTTTCCCGCGAAACGGAGACGCTGACCCAAGCGTTGCAGAAATCCATGTCTGATGCGCCGGCGGCGGTCATGGAGGGCTTCCCCTTCGAGGCTGGTATGCAGATTTTTAAGCCGGAGGAGGCGCGGGTGGGAACTCCCTGCAGCGCTTCCGGCCCGACAGTTTCCGGCGGGTCGGAGTACGAGACGGCGGGCTCGAAGCGGGGCAGCTTGGGCGTCACCGGGAAGGCGAAGAAGCGCCGGTCACGCGCGTCGAGGGGCGCCACCACCACTTACATCACCGCCGACGCGGCCAACTTCCGGCAGATGGTGCAGCAGGTCACCGGATTTAAGCACGGCGGACCGGGCCAGATCGGCCCGATCCTGAAACCCGAGCCTCACCGGGCCGTCAACAGGCCGCAGCCGACCGGGTTCTTTCCCGCGCTGGACACGCCATCTTTCATGTTGGAACAGAGCAGGCAGCAGCAACAGACGGCGAGAGTGGGTGGCTCCGGTTCTTCTCTGCCTCCGCCGCCGCCGAGGACGGCGGGGGAGTCGAGCTGCCCGGCGGGCATTGACTTTGACTATTTCTCTGCTTTTCCGATCCTGGAGTCATGGAAAACCGTAGTGTAGCGGCGCGAATGGACTGATCGACCCCTGGGCGCCATGCTTAGAAATGCATTTGGAAAGGGTAAAACGGGAAATACAATTCACATGTATCGGTTAATTATTGAGTAGAGAATTGTTGTATTATTAACGATCTTCGAGGAATGTATTATTTATGATAAATCTCTCTATCTTTGGTGTTAATTTCGGATTAATTCTTCAAAAATTCTTGAGAGATCATCACTTTCGGAGTAGGATCATTTGTACTATGTTTGCCTTATTTGCACGTTTACCATGTTTTTCTAATTAGAGTAGTTTCCAAAGCATTTCATACCTAAGCATTTTGGGACAGAATCGTTGTAATGGAAACCACACAAATAAAAGCGCTTTAGATTAGTTTTTTATGTATGTTATTCTCTACTAATTTTATGGTCAAACAAATAAATTATCAGACATTTTTTGACAATCCGTCAAGTTTTTCTGCTAGTTAAACTCGTTAATTGAATTCATTATTGAAAATATTTTAAGTTGTTAACATAATCCATTGTCCGCTAATCAGTGAATGTCAAACATGGTATAAACAGTTTTTCTACTATCATACATTAACCAAATTAACAAGAAGTGGGTATAGTTTTAACCTAGTATTAGTACTCGGTATACAAAAAACTCATGATAGAGGATGTCTATAATCTACCGACCACCCTGTAATAAACAATCCGCCATGGACATGAATTTAATGGAATTATTTTAATGGATTTGCCTTAAATTGGACAGATTACATTTTTGTGATGTTTAGTGAATGTCCAGATTCTACTTTTAAAACTTTAAGTGCATTAAATAGGGTTGAATATATATTTAGATGATCCGGATTTAATGTTTGGATGTTAATTATTGAAAGAAAGATAATTAAACCGCAGCGCCTATTAAAGCATAAATTATATTATTATTATTATTCTATCAGATAATATCATAGACTAGTCAATTGTATATATTAGCTCCTAGTCCGTAGCTATATCCTTTATATTAGCTAGGCAGTTAGCTTGAGTTTATCTCTTGTACGTGTATAAATGTATCCCAAGTGTACATCATAATGATTAATACAATCCAACATTTTCATGGTATCAAGAGCCATACTCTTAAGAGCTTAATTTTTTTTCTGATCCTACTCTCAAAATGACGATCCCAGCAGCCACTGCTGTTATCCCCCTCACTGCCTCAGCCAATTTCCCGATCAAACTCACGGCATCTAATTTCCCCGTATGGAAATGCCAAGTTCATGCCGCCCTTGTTGGCCTTGGACTTGAAGGGTACGTTGACGGTACCATCACAGCCCCGGATCAATTCACCGATGCTGCCAAAACGCAGTTGAATCCGTGCTATATTACCTGGTATCGTCAGGATAAGACTATCCTCAGCGCTTTACTTGGGAGCTGCTCCGACACCATTCAGCCGATCATCTCCTCTACCACCACATCACGCAATGCATGGGATAAATTGGCACTCACCTATGCCAACACATCCCGCGGCCGGATCATATTCCTCAAATCAACACTTGCCAAAACTACCAAGGGTGACAAATCTGTCATGGAATATCTCACTATAATGAACAAAATAGCGGATGATCTGGCGCTTGCTCAAAGTCCTACTTCTGAAGAAGATCTGATTGTGTCTATTTTGAACGGCCTTGGCCCGGACTATCATGATATCACGTCCGCTATTCGGGTTCGTGAAACACCGTTACCATTAAGTCAACTCCAGAGCATACTGGAGGAGCGTGAACGTAAGCTTCAAAATGCCCCTGCACCTACTTCAATCCTCCTGCCAACCGCAAATGCTACCATGCTAAGTGATCGCATGCATCACTCATCATCTTCTGGAGACCGGCGTCCTAACTATGCGAATGACCGAAGAGGGTCAGCACCTCGTCGTGGCCGAGGAGGATACTCACACCACCAAACTCGCCATTCCTCCTTCTCACTACAAGAATTTCGGAAATTAGTGACGGAATTTAGCGGCGGAAACCGTTCTGACAGTATTTACTGACGGATATTAATGGGGGATTACTGTCTGTCGGTGTTTAGTGGCGGAACCTACCGCCAGTAATTTTAGTCAGCAAATACTGACAGAAGATTTCTGTCACTAATATCCGTCACTAAAATACAAAAATGAATAATGTTATATATAAATGTCATACTCCGTAAGTATTACATAGAAATTCACTTCAACGGCTCTAAATTCAAGAACTGAAGTTTAAAAATGTAATTTAAAAAATAAAGTTAATGGTGCAAAAAAATTTATCTATATATATATATATATTTAATTAATTTATTGTGTGTGCATATATGTTTAGATAGTAGAAAATAGTTTGTTCTTTATTTATTTCGCTTCCAATGTCTCTTTCAAAATTATTTTAAAATTAAATAATAAGTGTATTAATTAGATGAAGATGATTGGTAGAAATTAAATAGGGATTGGATATAAATATGAAATATTTCATTTATTATTTATATACGTTTATGAGATAAAAAATTGTGGAAGATGAAAACGAAGTATAATTCACTTACATGCATGTATGTTGTTTTTTATGTTTGGATTTCAACTGACCAAACTTAAATAGAGTAGATTAGATTTCGACTGTTGTAAAATACACACAAAGTAGACATCTACCCAACGAGATCAAACCAGTTCAAACTATTTCAGATCAGACTATACTAAAAATTTTGAGATCAATTAAAAGCATGATTAAAGTTTTTTTTTTTTGAAAAAAAGACACTCATTTATTAATCATTTTAAAAGTAACGGTGGACAAAGCAGAGCAATAACTCATAGCTACCATGGAGTAAGACATAGAACTAGCTAGCCCCAGAAGGGTGTCTCGCTGACTCCAAAATAATGTAGGCTATTATATCAGCATTGTTGGACTTGCTAGTAAGACAAAAATATAAAAAACAAACGTTTGAAAGCTGAAAAAGAGCATGATTAACAAAAATCCCGATTTTACCAGCCACCACCAAGGTAGAAGATGTTTGATCCGCCACCTCCAAAGACAACATTCCGACTTGACCATCCATCGGGAAGGGAGAAGCGGTTTGTCCAACCATCTCCAAAGGAATACTCCCACTTGTAGCCACTAATGGAATTCCAGGCAGTGCTGATTCAATAGCACCGCCTACTTGGCGTTTTTGAACCCTCGCCTTCGACTTCGCGATCCTCAATTGACATCATTGCATAAGTTTGATTAGAGCTCTCCATTAATGACCAACCAAGTGAACACCAGATCCATGACAGAGCTAAATCCACGATCACAAAACCCAAACACGTTCACGATTGGAACAGACTAAACCCTCGACCAAAGATAAACTCAGCCGAACAAACAAAAGGAGAAGAAAACTTCAAAGTTGTGAAGCACAATACCCACTGTTGAGCCTCGTGCACTGTTGAGCCTCTGCGTCGTTGTATGGAGGTAGTATATCAAATTATAGGCATCCGTAAACCTTACTTTTACATTAGGCATCTGTACAATGGATATCATCCATATTACAATTGAAAAACAAAAATGAAAAAATGAAATTGACTGACAAACTGACCAAAATCGAACCGTTCAAAACGAAACCGACTCAAACCAAAACCGACTAAAATCGATTAACCATTGGCGGTTCGGTTTACAATTTCACCTTTCGGGTAAAAAATCGACTGAACAAAAACCGACCAACAAAAAACGGAAAAAACATGCTAAAATCGACCGAAAGCGATATAGTGTACTCCCATATACCCCATGTGTATCAACGCTCATGATAAAGGATTTCCAAAATCCATGAAGTCAAATCCGAGCGACACCGAGCTCAAAATCAATTCACAAATTATCAAGATAAGTTCGAAATTGCATATGGGCTGGCGAGGCCGAGGTCAATCCTCGCTGAGTTTGGTGGCAACCTCAACACTATAGCTGAGCTTAAAGTCAACGAGCACCTTAGGAGGTTAAAAGGTCAACAAGAGCATCACTGCTTCACATCCTGAGCTGAGGAATCCTCTCTCTTACGTAGTTATTTTTACTTGTAGTCCAAGTATTTTGTTTACACTATAAATATCACACCTTCTCATTTGTGGAAAGAGATCACCATTCTTACTCTCAAGCTTACTGTTACGCTGCAAAATTCCATGCTTGACCGGTTTTGCCTTCCCCTAGGTCGGTGAAGCCATCATGCACGGTCACACCCAAGTCAAAGGTCCACCTTTCGGATCCACAGTTGGTCACTGGAATCTACCGTCGCAGAAAATTGCCGGAATTCATCTCTCACCATCTGTTGTCGCCGCTGGTCGCCATCAGTGGCCTGACTGCCCCGCCACCAAGAGACTTACCCAATGATATAGGCAATGGAACTGGGGGGCAATTAATCATATTCATTATATTAGGAGTAGAAAGCTAATATTTAATTATATTTCGAGAACAACAAGATATTGAGTTCTATTTGTGCATTTATGTTTAAGTTTAGTCCTACTTTAGTATTTAAGACAACTTTTCTTTATTACTCCGTATAAATTTATTTTACATTGGGAGCGCGTTTGGTGACCCTGATTTTAACCTTATTGAGCTTATCAGCCAATTTTTCACTAAACACGTAACTTTTGATTTCGCGTGCTGAATAATGTAATAATAAGAAAAGATAAGGTTGGGGTTACTTTTCTGGCTGTATTGGTTGAAGTTACTGTAGAGTATCATTTTAGCCATTTTTATGTACTTTTTTCTTTATTTTATTAATAAAAAGTATTTTAAATATTTCCCCCCATAAATCCGTAGTAACCAATTCAACCAATTCAGCCAGAACTTCATCAATTTTAGTTGAATTAGTCAATTCAGCCAATCCACCCATAAATCAGAAGAATCAACAAAATCTGATTTAAGAAAACACAAACAAAAATAGTACGGTGTGATAAAAGAAACAATAAAATAAATTTTAAAGGGAATCCATTAATTAATCTAGCAATAGATAAAACAGGAGGTAGAATCCAAATATTTCGGCACCCATAAAAAATCTTGAATCGTTCCCGCTCCCTAAGTAATTTCACCAAATTCCCATTCCCTCCCATTTCCCCCAAAATTTCAAACTCCCTCCACTTTGGTCTAAAAAGCCCAATTAAAGACACCTGTATCTCAACACCGTACCCTGAATCTCTATCTTCACTATGCGCACCGCCGCTCCCCCCTCTCTAACCCTAGCAAGCAATCTGTTGCAATACCTTTTCAGCACCGCCAAATAAACACCGTCGATTGAGTAGCAGGCAGGACTCCATTATCCGCCAAAGGTATTCAACTGGCCTCAATCATCCGCCAAAGGTATTCAGAAGGCCTCAATCATCCTTCACCGTCTTCCGCAATCGCATCAAAGCCTAAGGCATTTCTATTTATCTTTTCTCTATTTTCTCACAATGTATTTCGTCATTATTTAATACAGTACTGTGTTTCTTTTTAAATCAGTAAAAATGGATTCTAATCAGTCCACTTTCTTTGTTGAAGATACAGAAAATAAATATGATTCCACTTATGCTGTATTTGGGTTTGCTTAGTAGTGTAGCAGGCTATACGGAAGGACATATCTTACAATAAAGAAGTTATGGTATGCAATTCTTTCTTTGGTAACTTTGTCTTTAAATCCTTTTCAGTTACGAAAAGGTTGAAACTGCCTATTTCCAATTATTTCTTTCCTAACTCTGTCTTTTTTTATTTTCTCTCTAATATGAAGTGTAAATTTAGAAGTGCCTAAACAAGAAGTCTTAGCGATGGCCATGACTTTTCTGAGTTAGCAATAACATTTAACACTGGTCTTCAAAGCTCAAGGTAATATACTGTTGAATGTATGTTTTATATTACAAAAAACACTTTCATCTGTTAATTTTAGTTCTTAGTGCAGTGAAAATGCTTGTAATTTTCGTTTTTATATATTTTAACAAATAAAATATAAAATGGACTCCAAGAACATTTGTGTGGTGAGAGTCTGTTTTATTCTTGATGCCATGAGACCTATGTTTTTGGTTCATTAGAGATATCTTGTGTTATAGAAATGAATTCAACTTAGCTCGTTTGTAATCTATTGTTGTGTTACGGTTGGTAGTTTTGAAGAGAAACAAATAGAATGTGTAAGGTATAATACCAAGAATGTAATAGAAAGAAATAGAATGTGTAGGTAGTAGGTAACCTTAAAGGACTTGGAAGTTGGGGCTGCCAGACATGAGAGAACACACTACACTTAAAACTAAGAATCATAAATCATGATTTGTAATATTTTTTTAACAGTTTGCATCTATTTTGTGTGTGCAGAAAACTCATTATTATGAGGACACTCTCATAGAAGATGAAAGTGTACAAACTGCAATGTCCAAGCTTTTTCCCAGAATCTGATTCTTCCTGTCAAGGCTCTCAAGACTTGCATGAACACTTCTTATCCCATAAGACATGTTGTTTTAGCTTTTAACCGTTTTGTACTCATTGTACTCAATGTTACTCTGGTGTATGTATTTTTTGGAATATGCTTATGGCACATTACATTTAATGTGGGTTATTATAATATATTTGTTAATTTTTTCTATTGTTTCATTGTATATTTAAGAGGTCAAATTTTAAATATATTTACTTTGATTTTATAATTATTTTGAACGAATGTCTTCATAATAAAAAAAGTGGTATTAAAAGCAATACTGATATGGAGTATTTTAAAAAATACATTTATGAATATTTGTGAAATCCTGTTTTGTAAATACTGTATAAAAGAATTAGTGGGGGAAATTAGTGACTGAAATTCCGTCACAAAACAGTGACTGATAAATCTGTCACTAAATTCTGTCTTTAATCAGTGACGGAAATAATATTCCGCCACTAAACATAATAGTGTCCAGATTTTAGTGACGGACAGTCCGTCACAGATATCCGCCAGTAAGCCCTTTTGTGACAGATTTAGTGACGGATTTTCCGTCACTAAATTCCGTAATTTCTTGTAGTGCGATCTCCTTGGTCTGCCGGTTTTGTGATAATGTTGGACATGAAGTGAAGGACTGCCGCAAACTCCGGCGCTTTCTTCGTGACAACAATATCTCCTACACATCTCAACAAAGCCATCCGGCGGTCAACCATGTCACCACTGCCCAATCACCACACAATCAACAATGGATGTTTGATAGCGGTGCTTCCCATCACGTGGCATCGGATGCTAATCTCCTTCCCACATACACAGATTACGGCGGTCCGGAAGAGATCCGTCTAGGAGATGGTAAGGCTCT